TGTTGATTGATTAAAAATGCTCAAAAAGCTATTCGTAATTCACTAGGATTCGCACTAAAGAACGAGTTGGTCCTGTGAGCAGCAACCTGAATCTAAGAAGCCAAACCATAAGGAGGTTGCTTTCAAGGAAGATAGCACAAAGGGGATGGAAACACAGTGCCTAGTGGGCGTACTAAATTAACAGAGCTACATGCTCCCAGCCAGACTCCGTCAAACAGGACCAAACAAATGAATTCAGCCTGATTTGTGTGTAACTCCAGAGCAACTTGAATTGGGTAAGCTGATAGAACTTCCGGCTTTAAAATGGCAGACCACGCATCTGATTGGGTAATGTCCTCAAAATACGGAGCCGGATTTTGACGGAAAACACCAGAGTCCTTCTAGCCAAACATCTACTACTCATAAACCATTAAAGCAATCTCACTTTGTCAGTTACTCTTCTTCTCTGCCATCAAAGTATTTTCTCATACGGCTGCAGTAAGCCTACTGAGTACTACACCACGTGTCCATAGGTAATATGATGTGATCCTTCACCAGTTTATAAACAGGTGACACAACAGGTCGGACATTTTGACTGTATCAGCTGGTCTATCCAATCCCAACTGGCCTGAAAGCTGATTTTTCCGGTTTCTCGCGAAGGTATCAACTGGCCAACGCCAAGTTTCTCACCTGTTTCCGGGTTATCACTTTACTAGTGAAATGACCGTTTTTTTCTGTCGTTTTTCCTCACAAAATCGGCCGTAATCGCTCTGCATTGGTTTTTCTGACATACAAAACAGTTGGACAGTTTTTATACTTCCTTTGACGTAATCCGCAAAACAAGAATCAGCTGTTTTCTCCCCTCTAGTTGAAATCGGCCCCCGAATTCGCAGTGATTGGGCTGGCAAAACATCCATTGAAAATTTATGTACAAAGAATTATCCACCAAGCTACAACAACGTAGAAGCTGAACACAGCTCACAACCTCAATTTTTTCGGATATATTGTTATCATCATGTCAAATAAGGGAAACTATTTTTCAACCATAAGTGTAAATTTTTATTTTATTTGTCCTTGAACTTTTTTTTACGTTTTTCATTGATACTAAAACGGGAAATGTCAAACTGTCCGGGGTCGCTGTGTAAAAATAGCAACTTTCTACATGTCGTGAAATCGATGAAAATCAGTGGCAACCAGAAAAAAAACAAGAATGTCCCTCGTGGACTGTGTTTTAGTGGATAAATAAATAAATTTCGTCAAACTATTCCAAAACTGCTTCTGTTCTTTTGGTGTACATCAATGCACACTACACTGTTCCAACATGTAAAAAAGTTTCGAACCGCCCAAGTTTATGTTTCGCGCGTTTTGACGTTTGACACCAACACAATGATCCCCGTTCGCGCAACGACATTCTTTTTGTTTCCTCGTGAATTGCCTGATCTGTAGAAGCAACGGCATATCCGATCAATGAAGCATGTCTGGTGCCCGAAAGGTTCGTTCGGATGAGAAACGGCACACTTTGCTGCTNTCAGTCGAACAGCGGGAAGTCATTTAAATAAGCAGATCGATGGATGAACTTTGTGTTCCACTATACACCTAACGGTAAATTTGTCTGTGGGTTATTTGATACGACGACTTTTTTCCGAATTTAGCTGTCAAATATCAGACAGAATGTTAACGAATATGGGGCAGGTATAATCTCCCTCCAACCTTATCCAAGCGAAATTGTTCTGGTTAGTCCATAACACCAAGTTATTGACCTCGATCGATTTCTACTTTTCAGCTTGTTAGTCTGGAGTGTGTTATCACCATTCCACCAGCCACGGTCATCGTGGTTTCATCATTCTCTTCCGACAAGCGCACATGGTGGCGAGGCTATTTTGTCCGCGATTGGTTTGGGAGGCAACAAAGTGACCGCCTCTCCGGACTTCTTAGTCAAGTGGTGTTGAAGGCGATTGGTAACTTCCGGTCAGGTAGTAATTATCGCACCAGGACGTGAGCAGGACATTGGAAACCAAGATGATGTGGACACAGATATCGGAGCTTTACAATAGTCATTTCGTTCTGGCAAATACGTGCACTACAGCGAAGTTTTAGTCGATCTAGCGAAAACGGAAAAGAGCTACTTATATAGATCGCCAATGAATGGTAAGATCAGACACTAGCACGGCATCATAACATCCTAAGTGCTCCTGTTTGATACGAAGTCACCACAAGCGATTTCATTTATGCAAATGCTCACGCCGAAACAAGTATTTGTTTGTTGTATGACCTGATGACAAATGAACGGTTGCCCCATTCACACTGCCCATCGAACGACGGAACAATACTGCCAACTTGATGCTGTGGAAACTTCAGATCCTGGGTGTCACTGCTCTTCGTTTGGTGCTTCTGAGAGGTTCATCCAGCAGCCAGAAATCTGCAAAGAACGTGAAAAACAAGGCAATTGCTGATTAGCGTCAGATAAATTGTTTTTAAGATAATTCCCCCCCCCACCAAAAAATAGTGCCACATACCATAATATAAACGTTATTTTCCTTTAGTATATCTAACCGTACCGTCGGGATTCGGAGGCCAGACGATGCAAGTTTTTTGTACTTCCTGGTCAGCAGTAGACTCTAAAAGCAAAGGAAACAAATATTGTTGTGTAGAGGTAATACTAGTCAGAAATTTGGGTCAAGAAAAGCGAAACCGGTTGTGGGCTGCCCAAGAATTTTCAGCAACCTTGTGAGTAGTTTCCTTTATGGAAATTTTCTGTGATATCTCAAATATCGTGCCAACTGAAACACGAGGCGGCCTGTGTTCCACAAATTCAGTTGTCAAATATCATAAACGAGAGATTCAATTGGGCCTCTCGTGAAAACCAAACTGATTTGCAAATGAGTGTATTTCTCGAAGATAGTCCAGTTTGGGTTCAAGTAGAACATAAGGTTGACGGAAACTCAAGGACTGCACGCCTACCTGATGAGCCCGAACTGGAAGGGCGAAACCGTTCGTGGGATGTCGGAGAGTCTTCAGCAACCTTGTGAGTAGTTCCCCTTAGGAAATTTATTTCCATTTAGAAGGAATAATAAAACTGTGTAGACGTAATCCCAGTCATAATTTTGCTAAAAACTTATTGACAGCCCATGACCGGTTTCGACCTTCTCAGTGCAGTACGTCTATACTCTGCATCGCGATATCTCGAATATCGTGCCAACTGAAACATGAGGCTGCGCCTCATGCAGCATATTCGGTTGCATTCAAGCATCATAAGCGAGATATTCAGCTGGATGTCAGGGAGGTTTCGTGTTATGAGCGAACTAGAATGCAACTTAGTGTATTCCGACAAGTTTCTAGTTGCTTTGAGCACAATGTCTGCCTCATAATTATGGATCGGATGGGTTATTCCGCAAAATCGAATTATATCGACCGTTGCAGAGGATAATTTGGGACCCAAAGAAATCAGAGTTATTCCTTTTAAATGCTGAGATACCTGTTGATTCTTCCAATTTAACGTGCTCCCCAAGTACATACAAATTAGTTTACACAGTGTGACTTGGTCCTGATGGTCCCCTGATTATGGTCGGGAAAGTTTGTTTGATTGTCTGTCCACCCTGGAGCCACTGCTGGTCTCGGCGTTGCTATGGCAATTTCCCCGTCTTTAGAGTCAATCTCTATGTAGAGTCACAACCACACTTGCCAGGTTTAACTCCCTGTTTAGAGTTTTCTCTGGGCCAAGTACTGTTTTTGTTTCAAGGTCGTCAGAGGCGTTCGAATCGATTGACGATGTCATCTGGTTTAGAAATATTACGTGAGCAGCATTGCTGCCAAGATTAGTTTGTATTCCAAAAAGTGAAACGTATGCTGACATATACCACCATATATTTAAACATATGCTGTACGTTTTCTACAGACGCCACGATTGACAGACGCGACAGCCATTAATGCAATCAAGATAGCCGGAAATGGTAGGCAGTCATAAGCTTCTTTCAGTTTCGGCAGGGTTTTAGTGAACACGTTTCATGCGTTGAATGCACTAACGAGCATTTGTGCATGTCTTTGGCCATGAGAAGTGTTTGATTGACATATCTTCGATAGTAGATCGATTTCAAAATGTCGGTCTAATGTTTCTCTTTAAAAAACAAGAAAGAGCTGGGCTTTTTTGAACCACGGTTGACACTGACGAGAGAGTGAAAGAACACTGCGTTTAACAACCTTTGCATTCGCAATGCATTGACCGACCTTGCACTAAACAACACAGAACTCTTTTTGGTGTCTCAGATCGCTGCTTCAATCACGTTCTTCTCAGCGGTCCATATGTAGCTGACATTTTGCCTCCAATTGTGATTCTTTGTTTTTTGAGTTCACTCTGGATCGCTCCGTTCAAACTTACCGACTGTGGCAATCATGACTCTTACTGCCGTATTTTCAGACTGCTCTCTATAGTCACTAGCGTTGTCAATTTTGAAAACGCAAATTCTAGTTTCTCGCAAAAATATATTACTATTTCATTCTCATGAAGTAAATATGATATTTTGTTTGCTCACTTCCTATCACATTGGTAATTCTATTCAAATATGTTTTAATCAACATATTGCGGTGGAAGCAAGGAGGAAAACAACAAAAGAACACGCTAGCCTTGTTCAACTCATTGTGTAGTTCAACTGGTAGTTTAAAAGTAGGTTGTACGGTAGACCAGCAATGCAGTTAGACAGGATTTCAACAGACTATTACAGACATTACAAAAGAACCTAGTATTTATAAACTACTGACAAATTTCGCTGTTTTGTCTCACATACTGGACATCGCATATACAAAACCCCAGGAAAGGGTTACAAGAACACAAACGACTAATTTTCAGAGCTCTGGTTCAGATTATCTTCCTCCTATCCTACTCTGGCAAAAAATGGGAAGTACTACTAGAACTTATCAGTAGTCAACACCTCATAGCATTCAAGCGATCAAAGCACTATTCAGGTGAGTAATCCAAACGTATAGATTAATCGGTCGACTCAAGCAAAGTAATCGCTGAGTTGTCTTTAGAGGCACTGAGGGAACGATTCCCCCAGCCGAAGAGTAAATGAGAGTTCAGCTGTAGCACCCTTCCAGTGCCTAACTGCCATGCCACCAGAGGGAAGCACGAGGGCTGGGATACTGCCAGGTCGCCCAAGCCTAGACAGGGTAAGTCGAATGGCGGAGGTCGGATTCGAACCACGGACCTTCCGGTCAGTAAATTCGCGCTCTAACCACTTCGACCATCTCTCCCCTCAGCCATAGGTGCACCTTGTTACGCGTGATATTTTAGGCAAACGTCCGGTGTTCACTGGTATATGGGGGCGGCATATCCACGCGCTGATAAGATCTGACAACAGGGAAACTCAAGTCCATCACTTGTTCTCTCCTGTGGAACGTCAGTCGAATATCTACATTAGGACTGAAGAATTATTCAACCCTATCTAATATTCACACTACTCCTAATCGTTGAATGTAATTAAGCCACGAATTCCCCCGTTTTGAGCCGGCAGAATACTACAAAATATCCTAAAACTTCGTATGACGTCAGAAGTGAATTTATTTTTTAAAAAAATTAGTGCTTAATTCTTGTTTAGATATTCAATGTAAGGACGCCTAAGTTGGACTTGGCACGTCGCTCATATTTTAAGTAATATGCAATTTTCCAAGTTTGCTTCTGCACTTACGAAGCGGATAGAAATTTCATTTTAAGTCGAAAAAACCCCCGGGGATAATTAAACTGTGCAACATTCGTTTAAAATGGAAAAAACAATGTAAAGTCCTTTATAAGTTCTTCAGAAATGAAAGTTAGTTATTTTAATTTAAAAGTGCATAGTTATTGTTTTCTAAAACCAGTTTAAAATATAATTTTGTGTTTACAATGAAATAGTGGAAACACTGGTGAATAATGAGGATACTCCCACTACTCAAAATAAACGGGTGCCTTAATAATGTTCCTTTTACCTTCGTTTGTCGTGAATGGTTCCTTCATTATCCGTTGCTCAAAAGGACACTTTTTTCTCAGGTAGAAAATAAACGCGATGTGATCTTGTGGGAGTTCACTGAATGTAATACGCCCTAACGCTGGTGGACCCATTTAAACAACCAATCTCGGAGGCTATAGGGGTCGGTCAGAAGTTACCCGCGAGAAAAGGATTGAGGTGTCTGAAAAAACGGTTGCATATACTATTTTGTAGAACCAAGCCATGTCTTTATTGCTCGATGAATTGAACTCCACAGGTAATGACATTGAATTCTACCTCACTGAATGCAGCATTCTTGAAAAATACGCCGTTATGCGAGAACGCTGGCCCATGAGGGTTTTGCCGTCTGGCATTACATCAGCATGTTTTGATCGAGGACAGTCCTTTGTCGGGCAACCACTATCACAAAACCACTATTATAAACCAACCAGCCAAAAATCTCATTTGCATAAACAAAATGTAGAAAAGTGCATATATACACAAACAAACCAGTCACAAACAAAACGTCTTCCTAGCATAAGGATTAGCCTCAGACAGAAAGCACAAGTAGACAGAGAGTCGTACCCGGTTAGTCAGAATGAAGAAGATTAAACAACGATAAAATTTGGTAACAGACCAATTACACTGGCGACGGAAAACTTTGACGACCAAATGTTGCCAAACCAACCAATCAAATTTAAGGACGACAGATCACCATGTAACAAAAATTTAAAGCGGCCCAATGAGAATGAGAGACGGTAGATCAAGAAAGAATCAATTCAAGAAACGGACTGAATTCTATGCAGGAAATGTAGATCGCACTGCAGAGCGGAGTGCCAACCGGCCAACAGATTTACGAGAAATGTAAATATCAGATAGCCGGTCGAACCGAAAGGTATTGAATATTGTCTTGGTACTATATAAACCAGAAGATTCTTGGTGCCTTCTCAACTGATGGCGGAACAGTTGCAACTCCAGTATCAGCGTCTTGGAACAGGTCAACGGCCACCCGGCCAATCACAAGTGCGAAAAGCCAGTGCGGAAATTGAGACAAACACAACAACAACAAATCAACAACAAATTCCAACAAATCAGTGGAATAAGAGACATACAGACCACGACGCGGAAAAAATCACGGTCTTTCCTACAATAATGCAACAGAAGGTATATACCAACTAGCCAATCACATGACAGGATATTAGATACCCTTCAAAAACTACATAAACGCAGCTAGGCACGGAGGAAGCACCCACTCAACTGCGCATTGACGATGTCTCCTCGACTGGGGATGAAACATTTGCAAGCCAATTGCCAAGCTCGGTGAGCAGATCAACAACCAACGGATCAATCACCAATACCCCTAGATAGCCAGACATACACAGGAGCAGTGAAAGCGCTGGGATTTGATTCGATCCAGAACTCTCAGCGCTAACCCCTGAGTTATCATGAGCTTTGTACTGAACAACTCTGAATAATTTTGTAAGGATGACACTAGTGTTGAAGAACGCATTCCCGTTGTTTTGAGGATTATATTTCACCTTGTAAACGTCTTAGAGTAATACCATTTCCTCTCATATGACATGCTAAATTGAAGTCAATACTCAGAATGCTATCTGACAAAAAACACGTAACGAAATGCATAAAGGTAGTTTTTCATTTGAAAAGAAACATCTTGGGTGCCAGTTGCTGAAGTAGAATCATCGATGATAGATTTCCAGAGCAGGTGCTGAAATCCCAGAACTCTAGCGCTAACCCCTGAGTTATCATGAGCTTTGTACTGAACAACTCTGAATAATTTTGTAAGGATGACACTAGTGTTGAAGAACGCATTCCCGTTGTTTTGAGGATTATATTTCACCTTGTAAACGTCTTAGAGTAATACCATTTCCTCTCATATGACATGCTAAATTGAAGTCAATACTCAGAATGCACGGATCAATCACCAATACCTCTAGATAGCCAGACATAGACAGGAGCAATGAAAGCGCTGGGGTTTGATTCGATCCATAAAGGTAGTTTTTCATTTGAAAAGAAACATCTTGGGTGCCAGTTGCTGAAGTAGAATCATCGATGATAGATTTCCAGAGCAGATGCTGAAATCCACGATGCTTTTGAAACACGTTGCCATAATGGAGAGAGTGTCTTGTCCGGGGAAATATCTTATGTAGTTATCTCAAGACAACCGCCAGTCGTAAATTTGCTGGCAGCCTCGTCACCAATTCCTGTCCCCTCAGCACAGCCTCTGATGTTTCTTTAAACTTATATTTTACTTGCTCCTAAATTACTGTAAGTTGTGAAAAGACATGTTTGTGAACCAAGCTAGTGTTTGCGGAAAACTAGACGACTGCATCAACACACATATTTATTGTTCTCGTTTTCTGTTTTTCCCAAAACTTCCAGAAGCAGAAATATTGTGATGATCTTTCATTTCTGTTTGAACTGAAATAAGGCGGGTATCGTCATCCTAATTGGCGTGATTTTTCCAGGAATTGAGCTGCATGAACGCTCCTCAGCCAAACTGGATCCACAGAATTTTTGAACGTGCCGCGTAGTATCTGAAGTATTACAATTTGTCCATTCAGCTCAAATGAATTTTATATTCAATTTATAAAATTCGAAATTGCAAAAGATGGGAAATGATTTTCAAAAACTCTTATTCTGAAAAACCCGATGAGTCAGTGCGAAATAAATTAATGATCTAACACGTTTTTGTTTATCACTTTTGCCGTTATCGCTTTGAAGCCTATTACAGACACAATGGGGTACAGCGTTTGAAGGAAACGACACTGTCAGCTGAGGTCCGCATGTGTTTACACAAACAGGCAGGCCAAATGACACTAGCCGGGGCTACACATGCGAACAGTGGACCACAAAAATGTTTGGGTTATTTTTAAACCAATCACAATTCATCTTGCCATGGATAATGACTGACTGACGTCTCTGCGACAAACCTACTTACTCCCTTTGTCCACTGTGCCACTGTTCAAGCGAAACCGTGTTTTTTTGCCCAACTGCCTACTTACCGCCTCAACCAACCACCTACACTCATGCGGGCGTGCACAGGGACAGACGATCATGCACCTGGGAACAGTAGCGACCCTCAACAGTTTGGAATATTATCTAGCAACAAGTGGTGTGTACCGAGAGAATCATGGTAATCACATTAGTTGTGTGATTCCTCTCTTTTCGTGGAAAATGTTCACATACACAGTGATATTTTGTGATTCGGATTGTGGAATTCTAACCTGCTCACAACTCTTTGTGTACTAATCCCACATACCTGTGCTGCCTGGTCACTGAAAAAGTTCATCGCCCTCTGAAAGTGAGTTTGCACAATCGTGGAGTTAAAAAATAGTCGCTGTTTATTGGGTAATAGTAGTAAATATGCAGGTTTTAGCCTGTTTGAAACTTGTGCATATTTCTAACCTTTCATCCTAGCAAAGGCTGTCCTCACAAATTATTTAATGAGTTATTGCCCACTGTGCATTAAAAAATATTAATGAGTTCGGTGATGTTCTTCTCATTGTGCACAAAGTAGTTGCGTTTAAACTACCCAACTTTGGGCCCACTATGCATACAGCCAGTGCATACAAGGGATCTTGGAAAATAATCGCGGGTTAACACATATTTTCTTATTGATTTATCGTGTTACACATAAACGATGAGCAAATAAGCAGAGGAAAATATGCTAAAACCTTTCAGCCAACGCCCAGTATTTTTACTGGATAACACAAAAAAGGACAGAACTTTTTCTCTTGATCAAAATGCTCATTCCCTCCAACTCAATAAATATGACTCGCAAAAGATCCACAATTTGTTCGACGGTTAGCGCCTAGGGAAAATTCCAGAAATAATATCATTTCAAGGGATTTTTTCTATAAGTTTTGCAGTGCTGTACATTCTAAGTAGTTCGGTTTTACTACTCGATCGAAGGTGTATTCGCTAACAATGCAATCCCATTACAATGATTATAATGCTAATTGAATAGACGTATTAAGTATTTCGCTCCCAGAAGTTTCTGTCCCAATTACTAATTGTTAACATAATAGCGCTGGGCTTTGTTGACAGACTACAAACTAATCGATGATAATTGGAAGTATATCCCACAACGCGTCCAAAATTAATGTTCTTTAAAATATTTGACTGTCCTAATAAACAAATAATAAAAAATAAAACAATAAACGAGGCAAATAAATAGACGGACCATGTGATAGTCCTTCCAAATTTACGCTTCGAAATTTCCCATCAGCAGCTGAGTTCCACCAAACGTTGATTTTCACAATATGTTCCAGCTACTTGATGACGCTTATCAGAGAAAAACAAATCAACATAGAGAAGCTTTCTAATTCAACGGTTTATTCTCTCAAGGCTTTGCTTGTATCACTGTTGTATTCGCGCAATACAATGGGACTTAACTTTACACAGAGAAATCCCTGTTCATCACAGTTATTAGAGCTGTTGGCCTATATTAAGGTCAATAATGCCAATGCAGAAAGGAGTTTTTGACAATTTCAGCCTGGTTAGGTGCTCCGTTCCAAATATTGTTGCTTACTGATGGGCTCACCGATGAGGGGCGAGATGGACCAAGCGGTTAGAGCGCGAATTTACTGACCGGAATGTCCGTGGTTCGAACCCGACCTCTGCATCTCGACTTCCCCTGCCAAGGCTTGAGTGACCTGACAGTATCCCAGCCCTCGTGTCTCATTCGTGTGGCATGGCAGCTAGGCACCGAAAGGGTACTAGAGCTGAGCGATTTTTTCTCACTGACCACATTGACACTTTGGAATACTTGCTATTCAGCATAGCGTTCATTCAGCTCTAACACCCTTTCGACGCCAAACTGCCGTGCCACTCAAAAGGAGCACGAGGGATGGGATACAGCCCGGTTGCTCAGGCCTAGACGGGAGAAATAGAGAGGGGTAGATAGGGTTCGAACGACGGAACTTCCGGTCAGCAAATATGTGCTCTAATCGCTGAGCCATCTCGTCCCCTTCAGTATGGTACACTACACTACGTTGAACACCTTGTGATATGCGGTGCACTTCTGTGCTGTATCACGTGGTTTACCGCATTTTAGGCCGCGGACCAATGTTTGGCCGTCATACCGTGCATCGCAAGATGACTCACTGGTACTCGTTTTCTGGTTGTATCACCAAATATGCTCTGGATTCAGGTATGCCCCCTGCGAAAAGGACACTAAGTCAAATATTGAGATTTTCCAATGGGTTTATTATATCATGATAAGTATGTAATAGATTCCACCCAGAAAGCACTGTAATGCATGTAAAAACGATATCACAGAATATAAGGTTGCCGGATACTCGGGGACTGCGCCTACCTGATGAGCGCCAACAAGGTCGAAGACGGTCGTGGGCTGTCCAAGAGTTTTCAGCAGCCTTACAAGTAGTTTCCTTTATGAAGATACCACAAACACTTTGTTAAACAAATGGCCCACAGTCCCTCACTGTGAACAAGGCTAGGTGCTAAGCATATCTGCGGCGCTGTCAAATGTCAATTAGTGGTCACCTAAATGGAACAAGAATGGCATCAAATTGGGTCACTGAAATCGTTTTACCGCGGCAATCGTCAATAATTAACACATGCTGCAGTACAGAAGTGGGAAAAAACTGTTGTATTCGCGCAATACAATGGGACTTAACTTTACACAGAGAAATCCCTGTTCATCACAGTTATTAGAGCTGTTGGCCTATATTAAGGTCAATAATGCCAATGCAGAAAGGAGTTTTTGACAATTTCAGCCTGGTTAGGTGCTCCGTTCCAAATATTGTTGCTTACTGATGGGCTCACCGATGAGGGGCGAGATGGACCAAGCGGTTAGAGCGCGAATTTACTGACCGGAATGTCCGTGGTTCGAACCCGACCTCTGCATCTCGACTTCCCCTGTCAAGGCTTGAGTGACCTGACAGTATCCCAGCCCTCGTGTCTCATTCGTGTGGCATGGCAGCTAGGCACCGAAAGGGTACTAGAGCTGAGCGATTTTTTCTCACTGACCACATTGACACTTTGGAATACTTGCTATTCAGCATAGCGTTCATTCAGCTCTAACACCCTTTCGACGCCAAACTGCCGTGCCACTCAAAAGGAGCACGAGGGATGGGATACAGCCCGGTTGCTCAGGCCTAGACAGGAGAAATCGAGAGGCGTAGATAGGGTTCGAACGACGGAACTTCCGGTCAGCAAATATGTGCTCTAATCGCTGAGCCATCTCGTCCCCTTCAGTATGGTACACTACACTACGTTGAACACCTTGTGATATGCGGTGCACTTCTGTGCTGTATCACGTGGTTTACCGCATTTTAGGCCGCGGACCAATGTTTGGCCGTCATACCGTGCATCGCAAGATGACTCACTGGTACTCGTTTTCTGGTTGTATCACCAAATATGCTCTGGATTCAGGTATGCCCCCTGCGAAAAGGAAACTAAGTCAAATATTGAGATTTTCCAATGGGTTTATTATATCATGATAAGTATGTAATAGATTCCACCCAGAAAGCACTGTGATGCACGTAAAAACGATATCACAGAATATAAGATTGCCGGAAACTTGAGGACTGCGCCTACCTGATGAGCGCCAACAAGGTCGAAGACGGTCGTGGGCTGTCCAAGAGTTTTCAGCAGCCTTACAAGTAGTTTCCTTTATGAAGATACCACAAACACTTTGTTAAACAAATGGCCCACAGTCCCTCACTGTGAACAAGGCTAGGTGCTAAGCATATCTGCGGCGCTGTCAAATGTCAATTAGTGGTCACCTAAATGGAACAAGAATGGCATCAAATTGGGTCACTGAAATTGTTTTACCGCGGCAATCGTCAATAATTAACACATGCTGCAGTACAGAAGTGGGAAAAAACGGGAAGAACCACGGCATGCTATCACCATAAAATAGTTTTAATGGCGATTTCCACTCCTGTGATAGATGGTCAATGACTAATGCGCGTCCGTTAAACGCGGTGGCATTCACTATCCATGTGAGCTAAAAATGGAAAGGTGGATAAAGTCACCTTGCTTGACCTAGTTCAGAAATGGTGCGAATTTTGAATGATTTTACTTACGTTGAAAGGGGACTGGAGGGTGGAAAAAGCATAAAAGTTGCAGAGCTCTAAATTTTATTTGCGAAATTTTAAAAGTTTGAATAAACCGATGACTCTGAGAATATGATTTAGGTGGCTACCTGGTACGAAGAGTGTTGCTGGGATTCCACAACGGAAAAGGAAACACTGAGTGAATTGTTGTTGACAAGACTCCACATTTTCGAAAATTCTCGGAGATTCTCACAGTTCAAACAAACATTCAGCGAATAAAACTAAATTTTTGCAATCAGTGTGCTTCAAAATCATATCTTCAACAAAATAGGGACTTCGAACGATTGTGCCTAAAGGGTATCTTTCTAACATGCATCTGACCGTATTTCGCGCAGTTTCAATTCAGATTCTGTCCTGTGTAAAATCATTCTACTTTGAAAAGAAATTCACTTTTGTTCGAAATCATCAACCATTCGTAGTTTGAGCATTTAGACGTTCGGCTACGGGCGGGTGAAGGCAGTTTAACTAGTGCTTAAAATATGTTGTCATTCAGTCTCGAATCACGGGATCCACATCACGTGGTAACACTTTTTAATCGACTTTTTGAGTGAAACTTGCCGGGGAAATGGTTCATACAACTTGGGCCAATTAAGGCTTAAAAGTACAAGGGAATATAGACAGTATTCGACTTTTTGATGAAACTTGCCAGGAAAATGGTTCATACAACACAGGCCAATTAAGGCTTAAAAGTACAAGGGAATATAGACAGTATTCGAAACCAGTCTAAACGAATCCGCACTGCACGGCTGTTCCATTCCAGTTTAGCCATTCTTTCTAGTCCCCTCCACTCCTGGAGAACAGGAACTCCTGATTAAAATGGTGTAAAGTGCTCAACAGCCCACAAAATTTGCTCTGCAAACTTTGAGTCCGTCAGTCGAGTCCCCACATGCAAGAAGACAAATATACAACTTGCGTGAATTCCGTAATCTGGTGATAAAAACCACGAGCCTTGTTGGTACATCGGAAAACTAGGAACCAGAAGTTGTGGTTCTTCCCCATAACCGCCAAAAATATTATAATTTGCTAGTAACTTGACGCTCACACAAGAATCATTACTTAACTCGAGACTAGCGCGTCATGCTTCCTCTCTATGCTTCATGTGAGGTCATCATATCCACCCATCGTTCAATCGCACACTTTTTTTCAATCTATCCAAGTGATGCGACTGGTGGAACAGTTTAGTCCCTGCTTTTGAAGTTAAAATCTATTCTCATCTTGGGACATCCACCAGAGTGTATAAATACGTGTTCAGGATTTCGACAGGTACCGGACAGGTCATTTTATGGTAAGATGGATTTTCGAGCGGGGTTTTGTTTCTTAATTGCATAGTGAAGAAAATACTGCTTTCGGGAAATACACTTATTTGCACATCAATTTGGTTTTCCCGAGAGACTCAATTAAATCTATCGTTCATGATATTCTCGAAAACAGTCCAATTTGGGTTCAAGTAGAACATAAGGTTGACGGAAATTCGGGGATGGCGCCTAACTGATGAGTCCAAAAAGGGCGAAACTGGTCGTGGGTTGTCCAAGAGTTTTCAGCAACCTTGTAAGTGGTTTCCTTAATGAAAATACTGCTTTATTTGAACCAATGGTTCAACAAATGTTTGACCCTCAGGTTACTAAAATAAAAGAACACCTAACCGCTGTGAACACGCACTACTTTTTAAAGTAGTATTCCTAGTGAATGATACCAATTTCGGGCCTTGAGAAAGTGGTTGCTTTTGAATCTATTCCCACACCTGCTTCTACGACATTTATCAATTGGGACTTGTGTTGACTGATTTTTTCAGGCAAAGTTTCGCTTTCAATGGCGTTTTAGTTCTTGTGTTTCGGCATTCCAAATTGGTATNGCGGCATTCCAAATTGGTATCCTTAGTTATCCAACCATATCTAACACAACAATGACGAGCACAACACAGGAAAGGTCCTCTACCGTGAGTTCGATTACCGTATTGCACCGAACTTGCATCAAACTGTCTGACAAATAAACGGGAATTCTTCTCCTAATGTCTTCAAGCTTTTCATTTTGTCGTTGAATTTGATCTTTACTTTGTACTCTAGGAGCCACCCAGCATTTTTGCTATCGATTTGAAGTAAGCAGCCCGGATGTTTCCACAGTCCAAGTAGTTCTGGATTCATTCACCTGAAAAGAATTCACGCGGTCTTGTTCGGCCACAATACAGCGGAGATTTTTAAGTGCCAGATAGACAAAGAATGTGGGCCTTGAAACTGTTGGATTTCACCAGATACCTTGTGAATGACGAGGCTATCAGATGCATCCCAGGAACAGCCATTGTTGAGAATTTGCATTGCACATCGGACGGTTCCTTAAAGCCGAAAGTCCTGATCTGCTACAGACCCGTCAGCAATCAAACGTTCATTGCATTAACGATCAATGCGGCTACACAAAATTGCTCGAAAAAAATGAAAATCACTTACAGACACCACACAGTAGTTCGAATAGTTTAGTATTTGAAGCGAAAGCTGGGTGATACCAAGATAAATGGATGCGTTCCAAAGGGGTTTCACTGATTCCTGCATCACTAAGTAAATAGTGTTACCGCAAAAACACTGTAGCGTTCTGTTCGGGGGATTTTCGC